AAGGTCAGGCAGGAAATAATTCTTAGCAATTTCAGAGCCATTAGCTTTCCCCCCCTCTTAGACTGATTTCCGGCTAAAGAGGGAGAAGGGAGAGTAGACAATAAAATGTTCCAAGTATTCATGCTAATCTAGAAAAATATGTTTCTTGGCCGGCCCTGCATAACCCTCAGCTTGCTGGATTAACCAAAAAAAAAAAAAAGAAAGAAAGAAAAAGACCCTTGCCTTGATGTCTTCTGGCGCTGTTCCCTCATAGATCTTCTTGCAAAAAATTGGAATGGTACATTTGTCCAGTGAGCAATTCAGCAAGAAATGAAATCCTATCGCAGTGAACTGAAAAATCCCTTCACAAAACCCCCACTTTCCTCAGTAGAATCTCTGCTAGCAGTTAGAGCAACCTGCAGGGTAGGGACCCTTAGTCTCAATTATAGTCGAGGCCCCTCTCAAACTGCTCTAATCCCCCCCCCCCATGGGACCTTTTTGGAACTTAACCAACTTGTTCAAAACTTAATTATTGTTTCATTCATTTTCCATTGTTTTGTTTTCTCAGGCGTCCTGTTAATGCATAGTGATAGATTCTGACAGGGAGGGAGATCACGATAGTGTGTGCTGTCGAGAAATGTAAACCTGGGCAACCGGGTGAATGGAGGGACAGTATGGGTGGGAAGGAATCATCTTTGCCATAGGAGGGAATCAGCTGAAGACAAAGAGGATGCAGAAGTGTTAAATTAAGGGTTGGTATCTGCCACGAAGTTGGCTACAGAATAGTTGAGCAAATGAGGGGCTGGGGGTGTTATGGGGTGTATATTTTGGGATAGCGCTTCCCGGGGGGGGGCTGTTATTTGCACGAGTCACTGACATAAATCCTGCCCTTTCTGACCTACTCTGTCACCCCTTTCCCCAGCACTAGCTGGTTTGAACTTAAGTGCAGATACAAAATATGAACCCTGCAGGGGCCAAGAGCCTGTTTTGCTCTCAGATTGATATGTAATTATGAATAGTGTATTTTGCCTTCCCCAAGGAGGGAATTAAAGAGAAGAGGACAAAAGATGAGCCGCCACCAGAAACACTTAAAAGCAGTCTTGGGCCAGAGGGGTTATGTCCTCCCCACTTGGGCCCTGGCTCGGTTCCCTTAGAGCTAAGCTTGGCGGTTGCAATGGGTGATCATACCCTGCAAGTTTCGTTTGTTCCTTGGTCCTTTCTCTGATCCCCAGGGCCTTTTCTTGTCTCTGTTGCATTGCAAGGCATTGAAATGGAACGCCAAATAGGTGTCGCTCACTAAGAATTGTAATAGGAGAGAATCCCAGAAGCATTTCCCTTTTCTGCCCTTTTCCGAATATTCGGCAAATTGCGCTCATTAAGAATGGTAATAGGAGAGACTCCCAGAAGCATTTCCCTTTTCTGCCCTTTTCCGAATATTCGGCAAATTGCGCTCATTAAGAATGGTAATAGGAGAGACTCCCAGAAGCATTTCCCTTTTCTGCCCTTTTCCGAATATTCGGCAAATTGCGCTCATTAAGAATGGTAATAGGAGAGACTCCCAGAAGCATTTCCCTTTTCTGCCCTTTTCCGAATATTCGGCAAATTGACGGCTTTGCTTCTCTGACTCATTTCAGACATTGTGCAAGACTGGGGTTGAGGAATCGTGGTGAAAGTTCACCATCCTGTCCGAGCTGTGAAACTTTTTAGCTAGTGAGCCAAAATCGATGGCCTTGGGTTGAAGTGGGTCTGTAAACGTTGTTTTCTTCTAACTGCAATCTCATGTGATCTTGGAAATGATAGGCCGTAGCTCAAGCTGCTTTCAGCCTGTGGAAACAGGAAGGCATGTTGAGGCAGCTCCCACAGGTCATCAGCACGACCATAGAACAAATTTGGCAAAACCTTTATGAAGCCCGATGCTCAGAAGGCAGGAAATCAAAGTCTCTCTAAACCATAATCCAGCCTCATATGTTTGGAGGCTCAACCTGCGGTTTTGGATTTCTGTGCTCTGGCTAGGACAAATGGTTTGGTGTGTTTCTGAACTGGATCTTCCTGTGGGTTTTGGAACCTGGGAATCCATTTTCCGCTGCCTCTGCAATACTAGAACGTTCTGGAACAGTTTGATTTCCCCCTCCCCTTTTCTAGTTCCCCCTTTTTAACCCCCATGAGGATAGTTTTGGAGAGTAGCTGTGTTGGTCTGCAGAAGGACAACTAGGTTCGAGTCCAGTAGCACTTTAGAGGCGGACAAGATTTTCTGGGGTTCCTGCCAAAGGGAGTTTTGACCCTCGAAAGCTTATGCCTTGACAATCTTGTGGGTTGTACTGGACTGTATAAATATAGTTTTTAACCCCATATCCCATGAAGCAGAGGAGGAGGAGGAGGAGGAGAAGGAGGAGTTGTTGACAATGATGGTGATTGCATATATACCCCGCCCTTCACTACCCAAAGGAGTCTCAGAGTGGCTTACAAAGAGAGCCAGTTTGGTGTAGTGGTTAAGTGTGCGGACTCTAATCTGGGAGAACCGGGTTTGATTCCCCACTCCTCCACTTGCACCTGCTGATGTGACCTTGGGTCAGTTGCAAGCTCTGGCACAGCTGTCCTTGAAAAAGAGCAGTTTGTGTCAGAGTTCTCTCAGCCCCACCCACCTCACAGGGTGTCTGTTGTGGGGAGGGGAAGGGAAAGGAGTTTGTAAGCCGCTCTGAGACTCCAAGTGAAGGGCAGGGTATAAATCCAATCTCTTCTTCTTCTTCTTCTCTTCTTCCTTTCCCTCCCCACAAGAGACACCCTGGGAGGTAGGTGGGGCTGAGAGAGCTCTTTCGAGAACTGCGCTTCAGAGAACAGCTCTGAGAGAACTTGTGACTGACCCAAGGTCTCACCAGCAGCTGCACGTGGAGGAGTGGGGGAATCAAACCCGGTTCTCCCAGATTAGAGTCCGCGCTCCTAACCACTACACCAAACTGGCTCTGATGTCTGGAAAGGACTGAAGTCAGGCTGGGTATTCTTCTCTCATCCCCAAAATGCTGAACACTGAGGAAGGAAGGCCTGATATTTTAAGACAGGGAGCCTGTTGAGACATTAGCCGCAAAGAATCCCTTTTATTAAACTTGAGGATTGTAAGTTGATCCCTGTCTTCTGAGTGTGTTGGTTTTGGTTATTTGAGATAGCGTAGCATTTTGTTCCGCTTCTTCATAGCAGTGGGGGAGACGTTACCTGTGAATCCAGGAAAGCTGATGTCAAACAGTGTCCTTAAATATTAGGTCAGTGGGAGACAGAAGGAAAAACAGTCTTCTGTTTTAGATAGCACATTAAATCAGCTCCTGACTTTGACTCAATGCCATTTCCCAGCTGGGGAGGTTCATTTGGAGCCAGTTTGGTGTCGTGGCTAAGTGCACAGACTCTAATCTGGGAGAACCGGATTTGATTCCCCACTCCTCCACATGCAGCTGCTTGGTGACCTTGGGTCAGTTGCAAATTCTCTCAGAGCTGTTCCCTCAGGAGCAGTCCTCGAAAGAGCTCTCCTACCTCACAGGGTGCCTGTTGTGGGGAGGGGAAGGGGAAGGAGATTGTAAACTGCTCTGAGACTCCTTCGGGTAGTGAAGGGTGGGGTATAAATCCAATCTCCTCCTCTCCTCCTTCTCCTTCTTCTCCTCCTTCTCCTTCTTCTCCTCCTTCTCCTTCCTCTTCATCTTCCTCCTTCCTCCTCCTCCTCTTCTTCTTCAACTGTAAACTGCCGTGGGCAAGATCTAGTGAGGTATCATCATAGTGTTGAATGGGGTCAACGCTGAGTTGCCATATTCCAGGTGGGGCCTGCAACTACTGGAGGTATATCTTGGGTTGCCAACCTCCAGGCAGGGCCAGGAGATCTCCCACTATTACTGTCAGAGCTGTCCTTGAAAGAGCCATTTCTGTCAGAGCTCTCTCAGCCCCGCTTGCCTCACAGGGTGTCTGTGATGGAGATGGGAAGGGAAAGGAGTTTGTGAGCCGCTCTGAGACTCCTTTGGGTAGTGAAGGGCGGGGGATGAATCCAATCTCTTCTTCTTCTTCTTCTACCTCACAGGGAGTCTGTTGTGGGGAGGGGAAGGGAAAGGAGTTTGTGAGCCGCTCTGAGACTCCTTTGGGTAGTGAAGGGCGGGGGATGAATCCAATCTCTTCTTCTTCTTCTTCTACCTCACAGGGAGTCTGTTGTGGGGAGGGGAAGGGAAAGGAGTTTGTGAGCCGCTCTGAGACTCCTTTGGGTAGTGAAGGGCGGGGGATGAATCCAATCTCTTCTTCTTCTTCTTCTACCTCACAGGGAGTCTGTTGTGGGGAGGGGAAGGGAAAGGAGTTTGTGAGCCGCTCTGAGACTCCTTTGGGTAGTGAAGGGCGGGGGATGAATCCAATCTCTTCTTCTTCTTCTTCTACCTCACAGGGAGTCTGTTGTGGGGAGGGGAAGGGAAAGGAGTTTGTGAGCCGCTCTGAGACTCCTTTGGGTAGTGAAGGGCGGGGTATGAATCCAATCTCTTCCTCCTCCTCCTACTTTTTCTTCTTCTGGTGCCTTGAGCCACTTGCGCATCTTCAGCCTAACCCACCTCGCTGGGTTGTTGTGGAGTTCCCATTGGGAAGAATGGTAGAACATCAATGAACTAAATAGATCACTTGAGGATTTGGGGAGCATTTCATGCAACTGGGTGAACACTGGATGTCCTGGATTTAACGATGCTATCTCATGCCCAAACGTCTTTCCCAGAGGTCAGGCTGTTTTTATTTTAAAGAAGTTCTGCACGCATGTTGGAGAAGAGTCAGCATCACTGCAGTTGCATAACGTTGGGTGTCCTTAAGAAATTGTGTCTGAACTTGTGCATTCTGCAGTACTTTTAACATTTATGTGCTCCTTGGAATGGCAAGCATCTCTGTTCCTCATTGACATGGTTCCTGTATCCCCATAAATTTTCTTATGGAAATGAGCAAAGAGATTGCCTGCCTTAAAATGCCCATTAATGTGCCAGAAAAGAACCTTTCTGAGACGAGGCTTGCTTTCGTTCCAGCTTGCGATCGTTGGTCTGTGCTTCCTCGGCCCGATCTCCCCCACGACATCAACAGGTTTGGACATTCTGCTGTGCTGAACAACAAGTAAGTGCACCAAAGAGTTCTGGCGAGTTTTGCGAAAGGTGTTGGGGGGAAGGGGAGATGGGGAGGCATCTGTCTGCTAGGTTCTGCTTCACATTGGGAACGCTGAGGTTTTCCAGGGACGCTTGCAGAGGTTGTGGCGTATCCGGTTGTGTCAGTGCTGCTTCTGCTCTCATAAGAACCTCAGAAGAGCCCTGCTGGATCAGACCAATAGTTCCATCTAGTCCAGCCTCCTGTCTCACCCAGGGGCCAGCCAGTTCCTCTGGAGGGCCAGCAACAGAACATAGAGGCCGAGGCCTTCCCCTGAGAAGAACCTCAGAAGAGCCCTGCTGGATCAGACCAATAGTTCCATCTAGTCCAGCCTCCTGTCTCACCCAGGGGCCAGCCAGTTCCTCTGGAGGGCCAGCAACAGAACATAGAGGCCGAGGCCTTCCCCTGAGAAGAACCTCAGAAGAGCCCTGCTGGATCAGACCAATAGTTCCATCTAGTCCAGCCTCCTGTCTCACCCAGGGGCCAGCCAGTTCCTCTGGAGGGCCAGCAACAGAACATAGAGGCCGAGGCCTTCCCCTGAGAAGAACCTCAGAAGAGCCCTGCTGGATCAGACCAATAGTTCCATCTAGTCCAGCCTCCTGTCTCACCCAGGGGCCAGCCAGTTCCTCTGGAGGGCCAGCAACAGAACATAGAGGCCGAGGCCTTCCCCTGAGAAGAACCTCAGAAGAGCCCTGCTGGATCAGACCAATAGTTCCATCTAGTCCAGCCTCCTGTCTCACCCAGGGGCCAGCCAGTTCCTCTGGAGGGCCAGCAACAGGGCAGAGAGGCCGAGGCCTTCCTCTGACGTTGCCTCCTGGTTCTGGGATGTAGAGGCTTAGTGCAATTTACCCTCCTCCGAATGTCTCTTGACCTGACAACCCAACGGGTCGCCATAGATCGAAGATATAAATAAATAAATAGGCTGTGACTTGACGGCATACAATTATTATACCGTGGCCTGCATGGCTGAGGCTAGCCGGACCTTGTCAGATCTCGGAAGCTAAGCAGGGTCAAGGAAGCCCAGGGCTTCTCCACGTAGGCAGACAATGGCAAAACCACCTCTGAATAGCTCTAGCCTTGAAAACCCTACGGGGTCGCCATAAGTCAGTTGCGATTTGATGTCACTTCGTGGCTGCTCCGACATGGATAAGCCAGCCCAGTCCAGTTTCATCAGTTTCCAGAAGGTAAGCCAGGTCAAACCCAGTCAGTACCTGAATGAGGACGATCGCCAAAGAAGTCCAAGGTCTCTACGCAGAGGCAGGCAATGGCAGATCGCCTCTGATCGTCTCTTGCCGTGAAAACCCTCTGGGGCTGGCTGTGCCTTCTTCTATTACATCTGATCTCCAGGTGACAGAGATCAGTTCACCTGGAGAAAATGAAAGGTGGCCAATGCTGTGGAGTCCGGTGAGCAAAAATTCTACTTTGTGAGCTCCTGGCGTTAAAGCTGTCAGTGAGCGATTGGGCTCCTGCCTAAATCAGTTTGCTCTGGAGCCCTCCTTCCTGAGCTAAGACAGAAACATGTGAGCCGGAGGCTAAAAAACTGTAAGCTAGCTCACATTGACTCGGCGTAGAGGGAACACTGACCACCACGCAGGGGTCATTTCGTAGAAAAAGAGGTGCAGGAGCTCATTAGCATCACCTATTAGCATAACTCGTTTGCATATACCACCCCCCCTGACATCACCGGAAGTGTGTCAGAAGGCAACACCCACTGCTCAGGCTCCACTGGACTCTTTTGGATTGCTAGCTATTGGGGGGGGGACACGTGCAGATCTGTCCTCGCAGAGGAGGGAGAGCTTGTACCTGAATACAACTTGGTCTTAAAGGTGCCACTGGACTGTTTTGGATTGCTAGCTATTGGGGGGGGGACACGTGCAGATCTGTCCTCGCAGAGGAGGGAGAGCTTGTACCTGAATACAACTTGGTCTTAAAGGTGCCACTGGACTGTTTTGGATTGCTAGCTATTGGGGGGGGGACACGTGCAGATCTGTCCTCGCAGAGGAGGGAGAGCTTGTACCTGAATACAACTTGGTCTTAAAGGTGCCACTGGACTGTTTTGGATTGCTAGCTATTGGGGGGGGGACACGTGCAGATCTGTCCTCGCAGAGGAGGGAGAGCTTGTACCTGAATACAACTTGGTCTTAAAGGTGCCACTGGACTGTTTTGGATTGCTAGCTATTGGGGGGGGGACACGTGCAGATCTGTCCTCGCAGAGGAGGGAGAGCTTGTACCTGAATACAACTTGGTCTTAAAGGTGCCACTGGACTGTTTTGGATTGCTAGCTATTGGGGGGGGGACACGTGCAGATCTGTCCTCGCAGAGGAGGGAGAGCTTGTACCTGAATAAAACTTGGTCTTAAAGGTGCTACTGGACTCTTTTGGCTGGGGTGTGTGTGCTCTGCAGCTTACCTGGCTGCTTGGTGGTGTGACTGAGGGCTACTGAGAGCAGAGGGTGGGGCTTGTTGCATGTGCCCGCCCCCTTGGCTCTTTACTGCAGGAGCTCCACTCCTGTGCGCTCCCGCAGGAAATGACCCCTGCCACCACGTATTGGGTGTAGCGCATTCCACGCAATGACCATTCAAAGCACTTGTGGAGATTTCCAAGGCTGAAGTGCTCCTGGGAGCCCGCTGGTGCTAGAACGGCTCCTGTGCACGACCAGATGGTCGTCACATAGCGTTCGAGGGCTGCTTAACATGTGGCCGGTTTCTTGTATGGATCGCACATCTGTCGTCTGCAGCGTCTTAGGTGGAGATGGTGGCAGTCCGTGCCAGACAGGTGTGCACGGCCGTAGACACGTGAGCTCCGATGCTCTTCTCTTCAATTTCCTGGCCCGGTGTTGCACTCCTGTGCATCGCCGTTCTCGAATCTGGCCCTTTGTACGTGGTTTTTCCCCCCCTTCCTTTTAATTCCCAGTCATTCTAATTTCCTTTCTATTATCCTCCCTCGGTAATGAGCTCCATGGGTTAATTGTACAGACACACTTTTATTAGTTTTGAAACATGACTGTTTAGCTCATTGGGTTTTGCCTTCCTCCTCCCCTCGCTTCGAACAACAGTCTCCAACTCGGTTTTTTCCACCCCATTCGCTGGCTAATGTACCTCCTATCATAACGCCGCCGTTTTACCGCTTCTCCGAGGGCCTCTGTCTTAAATCTTCTCCCGGGTGAAAGAGATCCTCTGCTTCCCTTTGTTGCGGCTAGCCCCTTTGTGAACTCTGTCCCGTCCGCTGCACCGCGCTTGACTTCAGCTGACTGTCCTCCCTTCAATCCGTTCTGCTAGAATTTCTTTTTGCACATGCATTCTTTTCATATGCCTTGGGTTTTGTCAGAAAGGCTTTAAGACGGTCATTGGGTGCAGGGGAATGCTCAGCTGATTTATTCCGTGGTCTCTGCCAACGTTTCCTCTGAGCTGTGAAGTCCTGTGAGCAAAAATTCTACTTTGTGAGCTACTGGCAATAAAGATGTGAGCAAGTAATGGGGCTGCTGCATCAATCAGTTTGCTCCGGAGCCATCCTTCCTGAGCGAAGATAAAACTGTGTGAGCTGGAGGCTAAAGAACAGTGAGCTAGCTTACACTAACTCAGCTTAGAGGGAACTGGTCTCTGCACTTCTCTCAAAATTGTGCCTCAAGGAAATGGGAGGTTTGCAGGCCGAATGCATCTTGTAAAGTAGGCGTCGCCAACTTGGCGCCCGTGGGCACCACGGCGCCCCAATAACATGCATTCTTTTCATACGCCTTGGGTTTTGTCAGAAAGGCTTTAAGACGGTCATTGGGTGCAGGGGAATGCTCAGCTGATTTATTCCGTGGTCTCTGCCAATGTTTCCTCTGAGCTGTGAAGTCCTGTGAGCAAAAATTCTACTTTGTGAGCTGCTGGCAATAAAGTTGTGAGCAAGTAATGGGGCTGCTGCATCAATTAGTTTGCTCTGGAGCCATCCCTCCTGAGCTAAGATAAAACTGTGTGAGCTGGAAGCTAAAAGACAGTGAGCTGGCTCACAGTAACTCAGCTTAGAGGGAACAGTGGTCTCTGCACTTCTCTCAAAATCGTGCCTCAAGGAAATGGGAGGTTTGCAGGCCGAATGCATCTTGTAAAATAGGCGTCCCCAACTTGGTGCCCGTGGGCACCACGGCACCCCCCTGACACGTTTCCTGGTGCCCGCCGAGGGGGTGGGCCCGACAGAGCTTCTGATTGGCCACTGCAGGTCTGCCAGATGCCGCCAGGGGATTGTTCCGTACCTATTTCATTATGTCCTTTTGTGCGTGTGGAAGAAAGTGTTTTAAATGCATCCATCCCGTTAGGCAGAGCTTCTGCATTAAATGTTGAAGAGCTGCGGTCAGAGTTAGGCAAAAGCTAACTCCCTGACATTTCATGCTTGGCTCTGCCAGTTTGGTGGTAGTGGCTAAGAGCGCAGAGTCTCATCTGGGAGAACCTTACTTGGATCAGTTACAAGTTCTCTCCGAGCTGTTCTCTCAAGGGCAGTTCTCGAGAGAGCTTCCTCAGCCGCACCAACCTCACAGGGTGCCTGTTGCGGGGAGGGGAAAGGAAAGGAGTTTGTAAGCCGCTCTGAGACTCCTTTGGGTAGTGAAGGGCAGGGTATAAATCCAATCTATTCTTCTCCTTCTTTTACCTCACAGGGTGTCTGTTGTGAGGAGGGGAAGGGAAAGGAGTTTGTGAGCCGCTCTGATACTCCTTTGGGTAGTGAAGGGCAGGGTATAAATCCAATCTATTCTTCTCCTTCTTTTACCTCACAGGGTGTCTGTTGTGAGGAGGGGAAGGGAAAGGAGTTTGTGAGCCGCTCTGATACTCCTTTGGGTAGTGAAGGGCAGGGTATAAATCCAATCTATTCTTCTCCTTCTTTTACCTCACAGGGTGTCTGTTGTGGGGAGGGGAAGGGAAAGGAGTTTGTGAGCCGCTCTGAGACTCCTTTGGGTAGTGAAGGGCAGGGTATAAATCCAATCTATTCTTCTCCTTCTTTTACCTCACAGGGTGTCTGTTGTGAGGAGGGGAAGGGAAAGGAGTTTGTGAGCCGCTCTGA